TAACCAAAGTGCTGACCAAAGGACGCTATATTTTCCCTAACCAACTAAAATAAGCTTTTTAGCTGGATTCATCAGTCAAGGAATAGTGGACAGATGGATTAGTGAGGAGGTAAATGGTTATGCATGTAGACTAATAGACAATTTTTGGAGCGTGGGATGGATGGATGGGTATGGAATATGAGGATTGATTCGTAGAACGGATCTAATCGGTATTTTTAGAGTGCTATTTTATTATCTAAACTTCCTTCCTTAACGAATCACATTAAATCATCCACCAGGACTTGGAATTTGAAATACTTTACATCTTCATCGATATGGAAAGGTCTAAGCATAGATGGATGCCGATTGAGTGAGTGGATGCATGACAGGATAGAGTAAGAGGTGGCAAATGGAGAAGAACTGAATGAAGAGGGGATCGAGAGGTGCATAAATATTTGTGTGAATGAGTTCGGAAGATATGATTTGATGATTAAGCCTCGACGACATCTTATCACTTGTATGGTGGGCTTTCAGGAGGAGGTATTTGAAAGTACGGTCTAGGTCTTGCATAAGCACACCTACCATCGGCTTGTTGAGTAGCCCTTAAATTGACCATTTTTGCAGTGCCAATACTGGTGTCTTTACGAATGGATGCTTTGCAGTTACGTAATTCCACCGATCTCCTCCACAAAATGCCCTATTGTGGAGGGAGAAATTATCATCCAATGGTCGCATATTGTAAGCTAATGTTTCTGTCTTCAAAGTAAAGCAGTGGTGCATACCTTTGGGAAAGTAAAGAAAACAGCTGATACAAGAAGGCCTCATAGCTTTTCACAATGCACTCCGCGTTATGAAGAAGAGAAGATATTCCTAAGTGAATACCTTGAAGATGGCGGTGTTTTGACATTGCAGCACCACCATTACCAGCGTGGAAGTTAGAAGAGCCTGCAATCCTTCCATAGATTCTGACACAGGATGATTAAGAGTAGGATGTATTCTCTTGTTGATGCTCTCTGCACCGAATGGTCGAAGATACTCTCAATCAGATTAGATGCCTCAGCCTGTATCCTGCCCAGTCCCAAGCCAAAGTAGTCAAGAGTCAGAAATCTCAATTTGGCCGCCTTTATTTGCCGACGGGCTGGAGCATGTGTGCCAAAGGAGCAGGATGGCTCCATTCTCCTGTTTCTATGGTGTTTGGTTAACCTTGAACCCATGAGCGTTACTAGCACCTTCATAGTCTCTCTAGGGAGCTGAGAGACTTTAAAATTGAAAGCCAGTGCATTGGAAGGCAACTCTCAGGTGGCATCATGCAACCATCGGCCTTTAAGGCTGTTTAGCACTTCATTAGTAACGCTTACTCCCCTTTCTGGAAATACTTAGGGTCTATTTTGGACAATTAATTGTCGTTCGTCATTCTTTCATTTTACTCTTCTCCGAATTTACATCATGGTGGACAAAGAAATTCCCTAGCGCAGCTACCTTTATCCACAGTCATTAGACATCCAATTTGTTCTACACCATAACTGCAACGTCATTATC